TATCCTTGGAAGATAACGTTATGTCTATATAGCGGGCCCTATTCCGGAGGCATCCAACTTGCTTTTAATTCTAATCTCAATCCTTGAAACCCATTATCCTAAAGAGCTTACTATCGTTTTGTCTGATTTTTTCCTGTTTTTTCCTTCTTTCTACCTTCATTAATTTTTGTCATTCACTAGAGTCAATAGTGTCCCCATAAATCCTTGTTTAAGCGATGCTCGGGATCCTCATTATTTACCACATTATCATTATTATAGTGAACCCGGAATTGTTATCATTATTATTATTCACGATTCTTATGGTTCTTACCAGGATTGAACCTGCGTCCTTGTTCATACTCGTGTTTCCAAGCGTACATCTTACCCATTAGGCCAGCACATAATTGTCAAAATTACAGGGGCATAAAACTAATGTCACACTGTCTAAAACTATACGAAAAAATAATAGAAAAAAGATTAAGAGATATAATCGAAATAGGAGAGACTCAGTTTGGTTTTATGCCTGGAAGATCAAAAACCGATGCTATCCACGCAATTAGGCAAATGAGTGAAAAATACAGGGAAAAGAACAAAAAGCTACACATGGTCTTTCTCGATCTAGAAAAGGCCTTTGATAGAATCCCAAGAAAACTTATCTGGTGGGCGCTACGCCACAAAAATGTTCCCGAAAAATATATAAGAATAATACAGGATATGTATATGGGCCATACAACAATGGTCCGTAGCACAACAGGTACTTCAGCAGGCTTCACAATAGCCGAAGGAGTTCATCAAGGGTCGGCTCTCAGCCCACTTCTCTTCATTACAGTAATAGATGTATTAGCACAGTCTATACCTCAAACAGTCCCGTGGAATATGATATTTGCAGATGATATTGTGATACTTGCCGAATCTAAGGATGAAATGAAAGAAAGACTAGTGAGTTGGATAAATATCCTAGAAACGCACGGATTAAAAGTAAATAGAGAAAAGACGGAGTATATGGTGATAGGAGGAGATGAAACAGAGAGTATTGATATAAATGAATGGCAGATATCGGCAATTGAAAGCTGCAAATATTTGGGCTCCACTATACAAACAAACGGCACAATAGAAAAAGAGATAAAGAGTAAGATTAATCAAGGGTGGCTAAAGTGGAGATCTTTATCTGGAGTGCTATTTGATAAAAGAATCCCACACAAATTAAAGGGAAAAATTTACAGTTCCATAATACAACCAACTATTCTATGTAGTTCGGAAACATGGCCAACCAAAGAATCAGACGAGAGAAGTCTACAAACCATGGAGATGAGAATGCTGAGGATGATTGCTGGGGTAACAAGAAAGGATAAAGTGCGCAGTACAAGAATACCAAGTAGTTTAAAGGTAGTGCCCATTAAGGCTAAGTTAATGGTAAACAGACTTAGGTGGTATGGGCACACAATGAGAAGGCCCATGAACTACATAGGAAATAAAGTTAAGAGTTTGGAAGTGATGGGCAAACGTAAAAGAGGAAGGCCAAAACTTCAATGGGGCCATAAAGTTAGAGCCAATATAAAGAAGTATAAATTAGATAAAAGAGATTGTATTAATAACATAAAGTGGAGAGAGATGTTGAAGGAGCTTACCACCAGAAAAGGTGAAAGCTAAAGAGAAAAAAAATAAATTATTATTCACGGTTCTAAGATCATCATTGCCTTCGTCAAAATCGTTTATCCAGTAAGGAAAGGAAAAAGACAGGGAAAGGAATTATAAAGGGGTGGGGGAGGCAATTTAATAAAATAATAATTATCATCATCCTCATCTTATTTCATTCAATCCATAATTCCAATATAACCTGTGCCGAAACATAAATTGTAATTCAATCCGAGAGAAGAGGTTGGAAATAATACGGTGTGAGAATAGTCTAATACTTCCACGATTGCTGATCTAGTTTAGACCATATTTTTGCATGTATTATAGATGTTCCTTCAAATATTTTTTGTTTTTGCTGAGTGCCAAAAAATCTGTAAACGAAAGATTGATCAAGTCTATGTCCTTCAGACATTTTGTAAGCCAATAGTATTTGGGAGTTCTCTGCCTCCCATAATTTGGGGTCCACTTCATGGACGAAAATATCATATTTCCTTGTGAATGTCTTAAGCAATGACCAAGTAATTCTAATCTCCTCAGAGGAATGAGTCGATTGATAGGTAGGATGTCGCACCTATTCCAGAAGGTTGAATTTGAGGTGTTGTATGGGTAGTATGTTTTAGTAATTCTTCTTAGACATTTGTTTATAAAGTTTTGGGATGTGTTGATATTGCTTTTAGTGTTGCCATGTTTCTAATCCGTATGTTAAGATGGGTATAATTAGGGATTTGAAGAGTCTTATCTTTTGGTTCGTGGATATCTGGTTGGACGACCATAATTTCGTTAGCTGATGGTATCGGGATTTGGCTTTGTTTGTCCTCGACTTAGTATCGAATATTGTGGTGCCTAATGACATTATCCTGGTTCCTAGATACTTAAAATCTGAAACCGTTTCTACCACATTATCATCAAAGTTAAAGGGGTCTGGCGATTAACTTTGTCTTCGAGTAATTGACTTTTAATCCGTATTCATAACAATTATTAACAAACAATGACAGCAAGTTTCTTAGTTTGTACTCAGAGTTCGCTAATATGCATACCTCATCGGCATAGCATAGAAAGTTCAGTGAGTTGTGTATGTTATTATCGCGTTGTTGATTCAGATATCGAGGGTTAAGGGCATAATCTTGTTTAAAGGATTTATTCAGAATATCGTTCATTATTACATTAAATAACATAGGTTATAGAATGCAACTGTTTCAGCCCTCTGTTGGCCTTAAATGGTTGTGATTTTATGTTTAGATGTTGTGGTACCACGTTATGATTGTCGTACATTATTTTTATTAGCGAAATCAGATGTTTATCTATTCATAAGCTTTCCAGTTAGGGCCAGATCTTATGTTTTATAATGGAGTCAAAGGCTTGACTTAAATCAATCATTAAGGAAAATATTGGAGACTTATGCATTCTAGCTTTCTCCAAAATAACCGTAAGCGCCATGGTTAGTTCCGTCGTGTTTCTATCTTCCTATACGATGTGATGGCTTTGAGAGGTTCCTATCGATGATTGGTTTGATCCTGACTGCTATAATATACGTAAACATTTTTAGGGTAACTGGGATCAGTGCAATCTCTCTGTAGTCCTTCAGGCTAGTCGGGTTCTTATTTTTGGGGAAATTCAGAATTATCGAGGTCATCCATTCCTAATAAGTAAAATATTTATATACAGGATTCAATTTTTCTCAAAGCATTATAATTTATAAGCTTAAAATATTAAAAAAATGTTGTAAAATGGCAATATACTAAAGTTTATAAAAATATTGACTGACATTCAATCAAATGTGATTGATAATAATCTTTAATACAATTCAAATAAAAGTTTTTGCAATATACTAGTAATAAATTACACATTATTTTATAATAAAATCATGAGGCTCGAACCGGTTCAGAAGCATTTTAGTGGTTCGGTTTAGGTTCGGCTAGAAATTTTTTAATGTTTAGGTTCGGTTTGAATCCCTGATTGAGACATCGATATCTGGGAGAAAGAGTTAAATAAAAATAATTAGTATACCAACAAATCAAATAAATTGGGTGAGGGGAGGAATCAAACTAGCAATCTAATTTAATTTTTTTTCGTAATTATACCCTTAACTTAGAAAGGTATATGGGCTAATGGGGAGGATCAAAATAGCTATCCATAATAGTTTTTTTTTGTAATTACCCCCGTGACATAGAAATATCTAAGAAAGGTATAATTTACACTATATATATATGCTAATCGGGAGGGTTCAACTCAAAAAAGCTACCCATAATAGTTTTTTTCGTAATAATAACCTTAACAGAAAGTAAGAAAGGTATAAATTACAATATATGTGTTAATTGATATAATATAATAATATTTACCAATAATGGTTTAAAATTTAATTATTAAATTACAACAGGCCTGGTATGTATTACTTTAATTGTTAGTAAAAATTAAACTTAATTTAAATGTTACAAAAAGAAAATATAAAACATTTTTCTTTTTTTAAAATTTTTATTCATTTATTTCGATAAAATTATGATAATTCCTTAAACTTTTATAATAATTATAATTAAAAAAATATATATAAAAAAATATAATGATATATAAAAAATGAATTAAAAAATATGTATGTATAAATGAGAAATGGGATAAAAAAAAATTATAAAATGTTAAGAAAAAGGGTACAAATCACTCTAGAGAAGAGTGAATGCTTAAAAAATTGGACCGGCAGATTTCTAGGGAAATCTGCTGACGAAGGTAAAATCCTTCAATGGGGTCCCCTGATATCTGCCTCATTTTTTCCCTATAGTTTTGATGAAATTGAGAGCATCATTTCCGAACATGCCTAAGGTATTGGTAACGATAGGGATAAACACGGTATTAATGAGGCAAGCATATTTGTTTTTTTAGGATTTCGGCCTTTTCGATGACAGAAAATTAGAGGTTGGACTTGGCGGCAAAATCAACACAGGTATAGTTCGTGTCCCATATTAGGCGTGCGAAGGTCGTATCTAGTTTTCTTCCCCACCAGCTACCAGTAAGCTGGTACCCGCTCCACCATGATACAAGAGGGGTGCACTGAGATTTGGTCGATATATGAAATTTAATCTTTTATTTTCTTTATACTTCAATAATCTATTTTTTATTCATCATCTAGTCATATATACTTGGTCAAATCAATTAATCGGTAATATGTTACTCAAAATAAAACACATTTAAGTGGACATGTAAAATCAAAATATAATATGACATTAATACCTTTATAAACATTAAACTTTAAATTGAAATAAAACATTATTTTAAAATATTTACAATCATGTAACAGAATCTTAAAGGTTTTTTTGTTGAAAATAAGAGCTACCAATCTGGGTTCGGTACAGAACCCTGATTTCTTTTCCGTAATTACCTCATAATAAAATATACAGGAATCGTTTTGGTAGCATTAAATCCGTACCAAGACATACCTTCTCTGTACAGTGACGAAGCGATCACCATTTATAAATACTCGTACCAATCTTCTTCCCAATGTAAAACGTCTCTCGATCCTCATATATTTGCCGTCGCGCAAAATTGTTTGACCCAATTATCTAAGTAAATTTTTTTATTCGTTTTTAAGTTTATATTTAGAAAATGAATAATAAATATTTATTTCAGAGATGTGCCGATATTTACACGACCGATATTCTTAATTTTAACTTATGGAACATATGATAATTAACTTCATAAAATCTAAAAAACGCTTATAAAAAGGAAAGAGAAAAAAAGAAAGAAATGTTATAAATGATAAACAACTTTAAAAAATAATAATGTTGATAAATTATATCTTACTTTTTTTTTCTCAAATAAATTTTTGACATCGGTTTTTGTAGAGATATAAGCTAAAAAGGTTATATTGGTCCATTTCTGATTTAGATACAAACCAACGACGTCACTAGGATGGGGCGAAAGAGTTTTGAGCTAGCTTACCCACCTAAAATATTTTTCATATACCTTAAATCATAGAAAAAAATTGTACTCAGCTTAAAAAAAATATATTTTAACCTTTATTTACTTTATGCCGATTTATGTTACCGGCAATATGCGTAATTCAGGCAAAATATATAACATTTTATAGAATTATATGAACTGAATTTAATAGGGTAGGCATAGATATCTTATACATTTCGATGGGATACATTTCTGTCAAAATCATGTTTCGTAGCAAATAATTTATTGAGCGCGTTTTAAAATTTGAAGAGCCGAAAATATATTCTTATATATGCATGAATTTTTGATTTATTTCTAATTTACTGTACACTAAAATTACACGAATTGCCTGAAATATTAAATCGTGCAAATAGGTCAAATTACCGGTGGCTTTAAAAACTATTTTATAAAACGCAAACTGGTTTGCTTTTTTTTCATATAATTTGAGGCTAGTATATTTTTATTGTTCCAAACTATCATATTCCATTTTTTTAAAATAAAATTAAAAATTTATTTTAAAAATTTAAACAAGGGGATGCAATACCTTTTTTATTATTAAAAAAATACTCAAAACGCAAACGCTCAATTTGAGCGCACTATATAACGCATCAAAAATATTAAGTCTTGACATTTTAATTTTATAAGCTATATCATTTTATAATACCTGACATTAAGTATTTATTAGATAGATTTCTTTTGGTAAATTTTAAAAAATTCTTCCAATCAAAAAATATATTTTGCATGTAAAGAAAAAATAAAAATATTTAAATACTATCCACATGTTTACTTTTAGATTCGACAAAGACCAGTCCATTATCATAAGCGGTGAGAGTGGAGCTGGCAAAACTATGACAGCGAAATACGTTATGAGATACCTGGCTAATACATATTCGAACGCTTTTAATTCCAATAGTTTGAGCATAAATCCTGCTAATTTTTACAGAGGCGACAGTAGGAAATACGTAAACGCGCCTTCTAAAAATAAAAAAACGACGGAATGCGAGGAAAACGACGAGGATTTCTGTATAGAAAAGCAGGCTCTATCGTCAAATCCTATCATGGAAGTTTGAATATGCTTTTTTTGATAAAACATTAAGAAATTTGCAAGAGAGATTGCGGAAGTAAATTTTTTAGGAAAATAAATTAAAATATAAACGTTAAAAAATAAAGAAGGTTACAAAGTTTTAGGACCATTTAATAGGATTAAGTGTCATTTTAAGTTTATTATTTGAATAATGAGTTTTCTCACATTATAAATTGTTTATTTTTTTCTGTTTCTAATCCAACTTTACGATAGAATCTAGCTTAATGATTATTCAAAATTAAGCCTTCCATACAGAGATGGTCAACCAGGACCAGTTGACCACTCTACGACCAAAGCATTTGTGTTCAATTTCATTTAATTTCGGGGTTAGAAACAAAATTAAATGTTATTTTATCTGCCAAGATAGATGAAACAATCTAAACCGGTCCTTTTTGACCCGATTAGATAATTCTAGAGGACGTAGTTTTGTAACATTAAGAACTTACATTCTTGTTTATATTAATACTACGGGTCATTAAATACTCGTGTGACGTAGGAACATCGACATCGGAATACAATACTTATTAGATAACATTAATTTCCTTGTATAATTTTTAGGCATTGGGTAACGCTAAAACCCTGAGAAATGACAATAGTAGCCGGTTCGGAAAATATCTCCAAATCTATTTTTCCCCACGCTCTTATAGTAATATGAATAGCAAATCTCTTGACCACAAAAGGCCCAAGTTAGACGTTACTGGACAAGATTTGAATAAAGCCAGGGATGACGATAGTTTTGAAGGTGTTAAAATCAGCGGGGCTAAAATGAAAACTTACTTGCTCGAAAAGTCTAGGGTGATTTCGCAAGCAGACGGTGAAAGAAATTTCCATATATTTTATCAACTTTGTTCCCTTTACCCGGCTAAGGAGAATGATGGTGCTACTGTCAGAGGACCGAACTGGTTCATGGGGAAAGATATTTTGTTAGAATTAAAATTAGGTTTTAAAAAACTTCATAAATATAAATTTTTCTCGAAGTACTAAAACATTTTTTAAAAAAGTTGAAAAGAAATTTTGATTTCAACTTAAAAAATTTTTTATGCACATTGATCATCCCTTCTAAATTTTTTTATTTAACTGGAGAAATGTTAACACTGTAAACTTTGTATATTTTTGGGAAAAAGAGGGTTATGTCTTAGTAGTTTTTTAAAGATATTTTGATAACTTAATTTAAGGAGGAAATAATAATTCAGTTATGATGTACAATGTGATTATTATATATATGACGTCGAATATTTTTCTAGAATATATATTAAAATTTTGGATAGCAAGAGTTTCCAAATAATAATTAAAATTATATTACATTTATTTTCTAATAACCCATCCCCAAGGGCTAGTACTCTCCTGTCGGAATAATAATATCTCACAAAATTTTACAATGTCCCTTAAATCATATAAATTAATTTCACAAAATTGATAGTTGACACAATATATAATATGTTTTATGATAACCTTTAAAGTTATACTTTATTGCTTGTATAATTAATTATAAAATGTAAAAATAATTTATTATATTTTTATATAATTTAGGCCCCTCAAAAATGTTCAAATACTTGAATTACGGTCGATCTGCAAACATACAAGGCGTGAATGATTGTAGCATGTTTCTAGAAACAACCAAGGCTTTTACATTAATGGGTTTATTTTCTTTTTAAATAAAATTTTCAATATTTTTTTTTCTTAATCATTTAAAATCATGCATTATTCAAATGGGCGAAAATTTTTTTAATTTTATAGGTTTAAAATGGAGTATTTATGAAATAACTAATATAACCACCATTTTAAAATCATATTTTTATTATTATCGCGAGCTACTTCATCGGAAACTAATTTTAATCATTCCAAATTTAATACACGAGTTATATAATATTATATTTAAAATAGGAGATAATCATATATGACATTTATGAATTATAAATTTACCAATGTTAAATTTTTAAAAAAAGAAGATAAGATTAGTTATTTTAAAAGCTATAAAATTATTAACTTTAATGATTAAAAACATATTTCATAAAAAAAATGGAGGTGCAATCAATGCAAAATTTTCCCTTTATTTAATCATTTTTTAAAATTTCTACGCCTTCTGATATGGCTGTAGGAGGTGGTCCATATGAAACCTCATTTTTTTTAAAATATTTTTTAAAATTAAATTATATTTTATTTATAATAAAAATATAAAATTTTCACTAAAACAAAAAATTATCGGCACTTAGTTTCCGCGCCTCAAATATTACTCCACAAAAAAATTTACATATCACATTCTATTTGATTGATATTTGTGTATTTTACTATAAAATTTTTTACACAAGTATTCAAAGTTTGCATAGCCTAAAAATAATGATTTAAGACATAACTCTTTGATGACAATTACAGTTAGGCATTCATCATTGTCTTAAATTAATTCATTATCCATCTTCTTTTATAGTCTTCCTAAAACTATTATTTATCTAAAAAAAGACTCGTTCGAATTTTTAATTATTTATTAAATTATTTATATATTATATATTTTTTTGAAAGGTTTTAAGAAAGAAGTTCAATGCGATATATTTAGGATTCTGGCGGCCATTTTACACTTGGGTAATTTGGACATGGTTAACTTGTGCAAATACGCCACTCAGACTTTTTCTATCTCAAACGTAAATCTAGCAAATACAATCATATATAACTACATTGTTTCTGGTGGATATTTGCAGTCCAAATTCATTTTTCTAGCAGACCGCAATGGATGGTTCTATAAGTTTTTTTTCCTATCCTTCGAAAAATAAGATAAAACTAATCAATTTTAGATTCTCGTTTTAGTTTCTTCACATTACAGGTTCTTATTTGTGGAAACGAATTTATATGTGGTTTCTCAAAGTATGAGCTGGAGGGTATTCAGAAGGGGACTTTGGACAGTTGGGGCCAGAGTTATACATTCATTTTCTTCCTCTGGCAAAGCTCAGGGGGTCAGAGATAGGCTTGCTAAAGATCTTTATTTAAAAATGTTCAATTTGTTAGTCAGATTTATTAATGGCGAACTTGTTCATAAAATCTACGGAGGTGCAAGGCTATGGTATATTTATATTATATGTATAAATTTAGCAAGAATCTAAGGGATTTATATTAAGGAGATAGGGAAACGAGGCAGGATAACTTGCTTTTTTTAAATACTGGAATCTAGACCAGATAACTTGTGCAAAATATTTTTATTGTCACTGTCCAGGAATTTGGTGCATGAATTCGACAGTATTTCTTTAAAAATTATTACATATTAAGCTTGTCAACTTGTACAAAATTATTCAGGCCGAACTAAAAATTTATGGGCCAAAGATAAAATCTTTTTCAAAAATTTTCTCTGGCCGGACCTTCTTGATCTCTGGTAAAAAATAGTAGGGGAAGGAACGATGAGAGTAATACACTTCTAAATTATAAATTATTATATATATTAAAGAAATGAGTGAGGATGATTTTGAAATTGCGCCCTATAACGTTTATTATAGAAGCGATAATTATTTACTTCTATATCTTTCTAAGTCACGGTCTTAATATACCAGAGATAATGGAAATAAATAACTTAAAATTTCCTTGGCCAATTTAGAAATCCTACTTCTAAGACAATAAAATAACAATTTTAATATCTTTCGAAGATTTATAGTATATTATAATTTTATCTAGACACTACCAAGGGGTTGGGTATGACGCAAAATCGTTATTGAATTTAAAGAGTGGTATGAAGTTGTATATGCTATCTTCATTGGAATAAAGTTTGGGTTATTTTTTTCCAATTTATTTTTGCTTAGGGGGGGGGGTGTTATTGTAATTGGATTATGTGTGTAGAAGTGCCCGCTTGTGTCTGATATTAGCTAAATCACAAAATCACATTATGCAGTCTTATTTTATTGTAATTTATAGAGAAAAGGACGATTTAGATGAAAATACAAGCAAAACCCGAAGCCTAATTTAAAAAAGGATAATGTACAAATATTCTTCTTAATATTATCATTACATCACTATCACCATGCTCTTTATTCTCATTAATATCATAACATTACTCAAACATAGACGATTTGTTAATTGTAATTTTCCAAAGAATATTTTCAACATTAACACTAAGCTCACCTTGCGATGTTTTTATGAAAGAAATATTGTATCGAAAAATATATATATGATGATATCATTGCATCTTTATGAAAAGTATATGAGTTAATAATTTACATGTCGTTTCTATAATAAACGTTATCATGCTTAAAATTTAAAATTTAGCAGAGCTAGAGCGTATTCCTCTCATCCTTTCTTTTTTACTTTTTATCAAAGATCAGGATGGCTTAGCCTGAGAAAATTTTGATAACGTTTTTTTCAGTTTGGTTAATAAATTTTTAGTCCGTCCTGGCCAAAAAATAATTTTGTATAAGTTCAACAGTTCAAAACAATTTTTTATGAAAAAAAATATGTCAAATTATTGCACCACATTTTGGGCCAGCACTGCCAATTAATATATTTTTTACAAGCTATCTGGACTAATTTATAGTGTGAAAAAAAACATAAATTATCTTGCCCGGTCTGAATAGTTCCTCATTTCCTTATCTCCTGATTGAATCTCTTAGATTCCTGTTAAATTATACACATAATATATATACCATAAGCTTTGCACTTCCGTAGATTTTCCTTGTCTTCTATGAGAAAGTTCTTCATAAATTAATTTTACTACTTATTTGAACATTTTTAGATAAAGATCTTAAGCAAGGCTATTCCTGACCCCTTCGGCTTTTCTAGGGGCAGTTAATGAATATATAAATTATCTGGTCCTTAGCTGCCCAACGCTTCCTCTCAATCCTCCTTCAGGTCTCCAACAGAAAAGATAGTTAACAATGCAAATTTTATTTCATAAATAGAAATAAAATAAAATAAGATGACGATAAAAGTAAGTTCTGATTTTTGTTAATTAGATTTAAATGAGTAATAGAGAATAAATTAATATGTAATGTTGGCTAAACAAAATTTAGGTTATTTTAAAAAAGAAAACAAGTTGAAAAGGGGTTCTTTCACAATTTAAGTATAAAAGCAGTTTTAATTCATGAAATTTATATTGGCTCGGTTTGTTTAGAGCCTTAGAATATAAGTTTATTTAATATTATAGGGTGTGAGTGGGTAAAATAGTGATACGATTATCATTAATTTTATTAGTAATCGTTTTTCATACATTAACCTTAGTTATTGTATTTAGGCTTCCTAGCTTACACTGGCCTTTACCAGCAATTTAAATAAACGGGTTTCATTTGCATTTTAAGTATAACGTCAGTTATGATTTATGAAATTTGTAACGGTTCGGATATTAGGCCCTGGAATATAAGTGTTATTTAATACCTTGTGGGATGAATGGGTAAAATAGTACGATTATCATTAATTTTATTAGTAACATTTGTTTATATAGTATTTTAACCCTAGTATCATATTACCTCAGACCTTTACAATACATCACATTTTATATATTCTCATCTCAGAGCCTCCACTTTTAATAGTAAAAATAATCTACTTCTCCAATTAATAACCACTTCAAAATATATTATTTATTGCTATTTTTTCCCAATTATTTAGGATATATTTTTATTTCATTTTCACTTTCATAATTTTTTTTATTCGATGTTTTTAAAAAAAAAATTTAATGATTGGTTAACTCGCAACCAGGCTAAGCGTTTTGATTCGACAGGTAGAAAAGTCATAATGAATACCGATGATACGAATTTGAATGAAAAAAATTTGGTCGATGCTTTGAATACAATTTGTTCACTATTGGGAGGTATAAATGTGGATGAATTAATTAAATCACTTTGTATTAGAAGGATAGAAGCTGGAGGAGGTCCAGGAGGGAACGTCGGGCAGCGAGATGCCAGAGAAGTGATATATTCATTTTCTACCTCTAGCAAAGCCGAAGGGGTCAGGGATAGCTTTTCGAAAGATCTTTACCTAAAAATGTTTAATTTGGTGGTCAAATTTATTAATGAAGAGCTTTCTCATAAAAATGAAGGCGCGGAAAATCTTTGGAAAGGCAAGGCTTATGGTATATTTATATATGTGTATAAAACACGAATCGTTAAGGAAATAGTAAAACGAGAAAATATTCACATCGGGCAGGATAACTTGTGCCTTTTTTAAACTAGGCCAGATTGAAAAATATTTTAATTTACCGGACCCAGAATTTGGTGAGGGATCTTATTTGGTGCAAGAATTTGACATCTTTTTTCCTTTATAACAACTTATTACAGACTGGGATAGTCAACTTGTACAATGTATTATATGGCCATACCGGGCTAAAAATATAGGGCCATACTAAAAAATCTTTTTAAAATATTTTTTGGGCTGAGCTATCCTGCTGATCTTTTGTAAAATATAAGGGATGGAAGGGTGAGAGAAATAGCTCTAGAATTATTAATCCATATATTTTATATATTAAAGAAAGGAGCGAGGAATCATTTGAGAACACCCAGGATAACGTTTATTGTAGAAGTGATAAGTAATTTATATATTCATATACTTTTTAAAGTACGGTCTTAATAAATGTATCTAAATATAGGTATAATGATCGTCACATATATACTTTTCAATTCAATATTTATAAAAACATGGAAAGGCGAGCCTAATATCAATATTGAAAATAATATTTAGAAAATTACCAAAAAATCATTTATCAAGTTGTTTATATTATATTAATGATGGGTTTTGTTAATGAAAATAAAGAGTGTTGTTAGTGATATGATGATAACATTAAGATATTAAGAAAAATTTTTGCACATTTTCTTTATTTGACTTAGACTTCTGTTCATATTATATTTTCGCCCTAATCTTCCCTTTTCTCTATCAATTGAAATTAAAAATAAGATTACAGTATAAAAAAAATAGTTTTATTTTATTTTATATTTTTTTAATGAACGTTGATTTCAAACCTTAGAAGGCACTTTTACACCCCTTTAAGCAAATACGATATTAACTCATTTATTATTTAAATATCATCTACATTCTTATTTTTAATTGCACATAAACTTTTATGTTCCCTCATTTACACACTCTTTTCTCCTTTAATTTAATCTCATTAAAAGAATTCCAAATAATCTCCCTTTTATTATTCGCCAACAATGATTAAGAAACATTTATGCCTAAATTATTTTATAATTTATCAAGTAAACTAAAAATTTTAGTAAATAAAGGCATACAATATAAAAAAATATAATATGACAAAATTAAAATTTTAATTTTTCCAAGGGCAATAAATTGATATTAAAATTTTGCTAAAACTTTTAACGCGAAAATTTTATAAATTCATGAAGGCAAGGCAATAAATTGATATTAAAATTTTGCTTAAACTTTTAACGCGAAAATTTTATAAATTCATGAAAGTAATAATGAAACTCTCAATCATAAATATATTTTTACATGGTACAGAATTCTTATAAATTATCACTGGTTGTTAAATATCTTATTATAATATGGTCCTTAAAAATTCCACTGTAAAAAATCATTTGGCTTAAAATGATTTAATTGAATCTAATATCTATATTTAAAAAATATAAATTATACAAAAAGAACATGCTTTATACACTGTTTACACATAATTCATATTTATTTTTTTTAAAATAAAAGATATGCAGAGAATGGAACTGATTCAGCCTATTCTAGCTTAAAATCAAATCGGCGACCCGAGTATACTGACAGCTTATCTCGTATGCTGAGTGATCATAGGAAGTTCATTGGTTTGCTGGACATATACGGGTATATTTTTGTTATATGTAGACCTGTGCGCCAAGGCTTCAATTGACCTCGGAGCAGTTTTTAAATTTTTTTCTCGGCGTTCGGCGGCATAGCGGCGGCCGCGGGTACTATTTATTTAAAAAAATTTAAATACATTAAATATATAATACAATGTATTACATTTTTTTTAAAATTTATATAGGCGCTCTTAGTTCTAACATTGTTAATATAGTTTAATTCATTCCTTAAATTATTTTCTGCACTCCTATCTAAATTTATGTATTTTCTCATTCTCAGAAATAGACAAAGGAATTGCATCTTTACTCAGATCAAAGTCACATAACACATTTTACTAACATTCTATTGATTTTTATTAAAACATATTAAAATATAAATTTGGAATGCAAGCAAAATATAAAGTAAGTTAATATATCATAAATCAGATTTAGTATTATAATTGTCATAAATTAACAGTATTTTATCAAGATTCATGGGACATGCAGAAGTACTTTTTGTATAAAGTATTAATCCAGCGATGGAAAAAATTCTTCTTTGCATACCTCGTTGCAGATATACAAATAACTAGCTAAATTAGCAAGCCTAGGAAGTACAACTCGCTTTTTTTCCAAATGGTGTACTATGTTGTCTGCAAAATATGGCATTCTTGCTCTATATTGCTAATATTGTTATAATAGTTACTTGAAAGGTAATGTTTATGAGCTATTTTAGCTATATATGAACTGGATGTTTACCCATTATCTTCAACTTGAATCTCATCTGTACATTTCTATCATGCTCTAAAAGTTTTAAATGTCTAATTGAAAATTGCAATGATGTCATAGAATTCGAATTTATGTATTCTAAAACAATTTTAAGATTTTGAAATCTTGGATCAATTAGTGTCGCTAAGATATAATGTTTAAAATATAATTTTATTAATAAAGATATAATATAAAATAAATTGCTTGGAGATCGGTAATTGGAAACTTTTGGTCAAGCTTTTCTTGCATATTTTCTTTTAGGCAAATGATATCTGAGCAATCAGATTTATTGATTTGTATATCTGTTTCTATTACACTGCGAAATAGTAATCCTAAATTTATTGTTGATCTCTTTTGGAAGGAAAGAAATTCCACTGATTCTGTAAATGGATTTAATAATGTGTAAAGTTCATATCGTTATTGCAAAGTTATAAGGATTATTTCCTATTTTATTTTGAATATTATTTATAGGAATATTGAACACTACGAGTATTTTCTAGCATAATTAATATACTGGTCCAGCGGGTAGGGTAATTTAATTTTTAAGCTTTTCGTATTAATTAGATCTGTTGATGCAATGCAATTTATACATCAAGGTATGGATCAGAATAATTAATATCCAAAATATGGCCTGTCTCATAAATTGATTGCAGGTATTTACAAGGCTCATCCACATTCCAAATCAGCTACTCGAGATCTGAGGGCTGAAATGATCTTTATTTTTTTAATCAGAATATTAATTCTGGCAACTTTTTTGATGCCATCAAACTGTAACTAAATTTTGAAGTCCGTGCACTATGCATAAATGATGCTCATAATCTCCCAATCTGACGCTTCTTTTGACATTAGCCATAGCATCAGTTACCATCTGTATTATTTTATTTTTTAAATGGAATTTCTTATTTATACTATCTATTTTAGATAATATGGTTTCGCCAGTATGTTTTTGCATTAAGTTTCTTGTTGCCAGTATTTAAATTATGAAGACTAAACGTGATATACGACGATTTAAATGATCTGTCATAAATCAAAATTCAGAATCAATCAGATTTAAAAATGCGCCTTTATAGATGAATAAACATTATCTAGTGCACCCCTACTAATGGTTGTCATATCAGGCAATTCTGACGAGGAATCAAATATTATATTTCTATATTTTTAACAATTTATTTTTTAATAATCATTTTATTTAAATTTCAAACCTTTAGAAAATCAGTATTTCTTTATTGTTTATATAATAAAATATCATTAAATCTAAGCATCACATCAAAATATAATTTAAACTTTATTTATTTTATATATTAAAAAAATATTTAAAAATCAAAATAATTAGAACTGAAATAAAACAACTTTTTCAACTTTCAAAATAAAGTTTTATATAATTAATTTAATAATCAGTTTTATATTAGTTTATTCATTAAAAAGATACTCAAAAAAACATCAATTAGAGCTGGCAAAATAAACTAGGGTGGTTTAAAACGTTTAAGTTAATAAAAATATTCTAATTTTGAAATATGATGTATGAATATAATTAATTGAATGTAAATAATATACACTATTTTATTATATGCCATAGAATACAATTCATATTTTAATTTTATTAATGTTAATATTCAAATTTAAATAATAATAATTTAATATGTAAATATATTTAAATATCATTCTTAAAATTATGCATTCCGGGCCATCGCCATAAAGAGTATCGGCGACGAGCCAAACTACGCCGCCTATCTCAATCAGCGGCTTTGCGGCGTGAAAAAAATTGCCAGCTATACAAATTTCAATTATTTTTGTTTTTAAAGATTTTTCTGTATTTTTTTTCTTACGGTAGACGTAGAAGTCTTTAAATTTATGTTACTAAAATTCTTATTTAAATAAATATTCTAGGTGCTCTCTATTTAATAATTTATAAAACTGTTTTCTCTCATTAAAAGCTTCGAAAAATTTGACCGGAACAATTTTGAGCAGTTATGCATTAACTACGCTAACGAAAAACTACAACAACACTTCAATGGGCATATTTTTAAACTAGAGCAACAGGAGTATATCGCCGAGGGCCTTCAATGGACTTTGGTACAATTTCGCGACAATCAAGCCTGCATAGATTTAATAGAAGGGAGATTGGGAATCTTGGATCTCCTCAATGAAGAATGCATGGTTATAATATGTTTTTATGAGGAAAATGAAAAGAAATAGATTAAAAAAAATAATATTGTCATATTATGTTAGGTGAAAAGATTAAAAAACTGTAAAAGGAAGGATATGTAACGTATATATCAAATCTCTAGGCAACGTGTCGAACCGAAATGAACCAAATTTTCTGAACCGTAATTATAATCGAACCTTTATAAGAAAATTTAAAAAAAGAGAGAACTCAACTTCGATTTCAACCGGTTCATCACGGTTTTTTTAGATTATATTTATTTCACGATTAGCATAGGATAATTGTAAATATTTATATTTATTTTAATAGATTATATTTTAGTTTTACTAATTCGTTTAAATTCAATTTAAAAAAAATACTACAAATTTTTTTATTGACTTTGAATTATGAATGCTTAAATGAAATGATATTTCTATATAATCTTTTTAAATCGAAACAGGTGCCCAACGGGTCAGACGAAGGCTTTTGCCAAAAGCTCTACAAACAACACAACGTCAACAATCCCTCCAAAAAATTCATCGATAACTCCAATAATAATTTCTTCAAAAAACCCAAATTTGGCGAGGTATCATTCATCGTGTGCCATTCCTGTGAAGATATAGAGTACAATGTTAATGGCTTTTGCAATAAAAATCAAGATAAATTTTCAACAATGGACGATCTTACAATAGCCAATTTGTTTAACAATAGCAAGGCACAAAAATATTTTTATGATTATTTTTGTGGGGGAGAGGGAGGGCAAATAGTAGTTCGGTTGTAACTTAATTCTTTAAATATTTAATTGATCTAAGTGGAATAAAATTTTTTATAATATTCAAGCAACTACATATGAATAAATATGTATACTATATTGCCATTTTTTTGAATCACAGAATTTTGTTGTTGATGAAATGTTCAAGCCAGAAGCTTTGAACGGTACTGATATTAATACCGGCATAACATATAATGGTACACTCAAGAAAAATTCACAAGCCAAATACAAATTAACCGTCAGTTCTCAGGTATACAAATAATACATGAATAACTTATTAAGCTAGAAATTTTGAAGTTAGCGTTTTAAATATCTTACTTGGTTAGTATCTTTTTTATAAATAGATAATTGACATAATTTTTTTTAGTATTAAAGGTGGATGTTAAAAACATTATATTTATCATTCTACTTATCAAATGAACCTTCAAAATTAATTAAAGTTTATTGCAGGTTGTAGAGAAATAGTAAGAGTGATGTGCAAAATGTTTAATTATAATAAAATTCGGGTAAGTTTTAGGTACTAATATGCCTATTCGGCCCTTTAAAATTAAATGTAATCTGATATCAAGGAATCACAGCAAACCATCATAAAGGGCTCATCTGCAAAGTAAGAATATCTTGCAACCAGATTTTGTTTTCGTAACCTCAATTTTTTAAAATTTAAATAGCATTGCTGTGAATGAATATTCTAATTTATATTAAAAATCTTAACCCTTCAAGACCAAGCTGAATTATCGTTGAATAAGCAATATTGGAAATTCAAGCATGAGGCCACCATTAATAACATGCCATTGTAAGTTTTGCGATGAACATAAAATAACCTAAAGTAGCGATTAGATTTTTAAGGAAAATATTTTCCAAAATGTATTTTATAAATATTCAATTACTTCTATTTACATTTGCTGCTGATAAAATAGCTCTTATCCATATTGAAGTTGGGGGGGGGGGTTATTTAGTGTTTTCCGATTTCAATAAATAATAGATTCTTGTCTCGAATCTCAGATTTCTTAATTAGGTATTCCATATCTTTAATAGGTAGATGGTTACTGTTATTTACCTCATTTAAGATTCTTCCTTATCTGATTTATCGATCGATAATTAATGATTCGAAAATTTATTTAAACTCATTTTGCCATATTCAACCTACGCCAATTTATAATAGTTGACTTTTACAACCCATGGGGGAACGGTGATATTCCATTTAATAGAAAACGCATTTAAATCAGTATTTAAAATTAATCAATTTTCCTTTGAAAAATGGCTAATCGCTATTTGCAGAATTATATATTCTGCAGGCCGAGCTAAAACATGGTATGATCCAAAACTTGGTATGATCCAAAACATTCACGCTGGGCTCCATAAAATTTAAATCTGGGCCGAGCCAATTTGAAAAAAAATATAAATAAATGTACAAATATTGAAATTTTGGGTTCGGCTGTTGAATGATCAAAAATAAAAATTGCAGATGAGACCTGAAAATATTTTTTTTTCAAATCCTAGCAGTGTATACCTCATCAATATTAATATGATGTCATATTTTTTACCAATGTAACAAGGGTAGCTATATATCGTCGCCTGAGAATAAGGTTATTATATAATTTTTAAAATTGCTCCCCTGTTAAATTACAAAAAGTGGAGATAAAATAATTTAATTTTCAGGCGTATATTAATTTGCATTTCATATTTTTTTTACCATTACTGTATCAAGTTCAGGGACTCCTTGAAAGACCTTATGCTAATTTTAAAGGCTTCATCGCCCCATTACGTTAGGTGTATCAAAACGAACGATCATAAATCGCCATTTGACCTCGATGCCAGGAGAACGGTTCAACAACTTCGGGCTTGCGGTATACTCGAGACCATTAAAATTAGCGCAGCTGGTTATCCTTCAAGGTTACATTTTATTTATATTTAAGGAAAGTATATAATTCCTGTCCCTACATTTGTCTCTCCCCGTTACAAATTTCTGATTGTTTTATGAGTGAATCAATTAAAAAAGGACCATTATATGTAAATCTTATTTAAAACACTGCCTTTTCGGGCATTATAAAAATATAAAAATAATTTTTATACAAAATCGTTAAATAAAGATGGTCGCTCGGGGATTTTTATAAGCGTTACCACGTACTAGTCACGTCCAAAGAGATCAAAAAAATGGATCAAAAAGAAGCTAGTCTATACATACTTCAAAAAATATTCCTAGTTTGCTTCACTATGATATTTAATTCTTATATATTATTACAAGATAAATTTTGATATAAATATTAAATGAAAATTATTAGCTATAGAGTTCTATGTTATCATATTTGATAAGATTATATCAGTTATTAAAATGGGAAATTTAAAATAGAAATTTATGTAAAGTATTAGTTAATTAACTTGAATGCTTATAAATTTTAATTGATCCCTCTAATTACCAAACAAATAAATTTAGAAAATATTTCTTTAGAAGTGACCACTTCATTATTATTATGGAGACTTTGAAGTCCGTTTTAGGGTCCTTAGTCGAGTCCTGAACGTACAGGTTCGATGGACAAACTCGGGCCTTTTTAAAAAAAATTTGGAACGACTTGAATGGAATTAATTATATTCATAAAGTATAATTGTTTTTTTTCTCTAACCAGCTTTCCATATTTTAATCTATTGTAATCTTTCATCAATATTCACCTAAATCAAAATATCCGCATATATTCAACAAGCAGGTCCCAGTTTGGACCACCAATAGCTGCTTCGATTCAAGGCCCTTAACCCAAAACTAGAGATATTTATTTTTTATTATTTTCTATTTGTAATTTTTGGTCAATTCATATCACTAGGACGAAAAAGATCAAAAAAAGAATGGCTTGGATGATGATAAAAGCGCGAAATACAAAATGGGCAAAACAAAGGTTTTTTTTCGTTCCAATTGCGTGGCTTTCCTGGAACGATGCCTACATATCCGTAAAACGGAAGCAGTTACCTGCCTCCAAAAAAACATAAGGGCATTTTGTCAGCGAACTCGGTATCGCCTAATTCTACATACCGTCCAACTTTTGCAACGTATGGCTAGAGGATATTTGGCCAGGAAGTTTAACCTTGATAATAATAAATCTATATATAGGTTTTAAAAATTCTTTATGGATAAAGAGGGAGCGAAGTAAAGGGATGGAAGGTATGTTAAAAAACCAGGAAGGCAGGAGTATATTATATAAAAAAAATTCTAGTATCTAATTGACAAAACTTAGAATGTAGAATAGAATGTCGCAGAATTATTGTGAATGTTTTAGTATTTCCAATTCCATTATTTGAAGCATGCTTTAATTTAGAAAATGGATGATTTTTCTTTAATTTAAAATATGTATTTTGTTGCAGGGCCTATGATATTCAAAACTATTTTTGAGGTTTTTTCTTCTACATTTTAGGTTTTAGGTTTTTTTAAACTAAGTTTTATCGTGTAATGTATGAATGTCGTTTTGTATATTGAGAATACTGTATTATCACCAGATAAACTTTTGCCTTTAAAGCAGGGTTGGCTATTTTTTAATGAACTGTTATTTTTAAAATTGGATGTATATATATATATCTTTGTTTTGTTGAATGTTTATCATATGGACTTCTACATGTCTCATATTAAATTTTGTATTGTATGTTATGCAAATTTGCATTTCAATTTATATATAATTGAAAATAAGAGAAATATTAAACTAGTAGGAAATTTCATTCAACTTATCAAATCATTTTACTTTATAAGACTACAATTTTTTAAAATAACATTAAAATATGGAGAATTGTTTTAAACTTCTAATATCATTGTATTTTCAGAATTAGGGATTTATCATAATATTTCATTTTAAAATTATAAGATATTAAATATTTTGTTCCTTCTTTCCTAAAAATGAAAAAGTGAATAAAATAACCATAAACAAGATGCATTTTTAAATATATGATTTTAAAAAAAATAAAAAATAGGCTTTGAATTTCTGGTTAAACTAATTTTAAGAATTTTATTTAAATATCTATTAAAAAAAATTAGAGAAAACATATACATATATTTTATAAAAAACGGGAGTAAGTGTAAATGAATTAATGGCTAAATTTTGTCATAAACAAGCAAAAAATTTCCACCAAAATCGGGAAGTCTGGCAATCCTTGATGTTCATCCTTATAATTAAAGACAGGACTGATGTTTTTCCTATTTTGTTTGCAGTCTTAAAAATGTTGAAAATACTCATTTGAAATAGCTTTCGCCATTAATCATTATTTTTTTTTAATTTCACCTTTTCATTTATTATTATTTAAAATGTAATATTTAAATAATATCTATGATTATGTTTAGGGCTAACTAACATTAATATTTAAGACTTCCGATTTAGAAGTTATTTATTATGAGAATAGGGAACTCGCAGAAACAATAGACGTAACTTAAGATATATTCGAGTTTGATGATGAAAATCCTTAAGTTGAAGAACGTTTTGAATTGCATATGCATGTCAAAAAAAACTAATAACTTTAAATTAAATGGTATACAAGTTGATATATCATTTTATTGATGTTAGAAAGTGTGAACGGAAAGAAAGTCCAATTGTTATCATATCTCTTCTTAAAAAAATATGTACCATATATTGAATCATATGTATCCCTATCCAGTAAATGATTTTGTAATTATTTACATATTACACTATTTGACCCTAGGATTCAAAAGTTCAATATCTTTAAGAATAATATTTCACTCTCCTTGAATTTTAATGTTATTATACCACCGAATTATTACTATTATGGAACAAATACGAAAGAGATGTTTATTCTGAAGCAAAATATAACAAAAATTAGTGAATAAGCATTTAATAATAATGATGTGGTCACTTCCAAAAAGTTTTTCTAAATTTATTTGTTTGATAATTCGAGGGATCAATTAAAATTGTAAGCATTCATGTTATAAAACTAAAACAATGTATAAATTTATTTCTATTCTTTATTTCCCATTTTAATAACTGATATAATCTTATCAAATATGCTAACAAAAAGCTGATAATAATTTTAAAAAATTTATCTTGTAATAATAAATTAAAATTAAATTTCATAGTGAAACAAACTAGAAATATTTTTTGAAGTGCATATAGTAGCTTTTTTTTATGAATGAATCAATTAAAGAAGGATTATTATATGTGAATGTTATATAAAGCATTGCCTTTTCGAGCATTATAATAATATAAAAATAATTTTTATACAAAATAGTTAAATAAAGATAGCCGATCGGAGATTTTTATAAGCGTTACCACGCATTAATCACGTCCAAAGGATCAAAAAATGGATCAAAAAGGAGCTGGTCTGTGCATACTCCAAAAAATATACCTACTTTGCTTCACTATGAAATTTAACTTATTTATTATTACAAGATACTTTTTTTTAAAAATATTAAATTAAAATCATTATCTAAAGAGTTTTGTGTTAGCATATTTGTTAAGATTATATCAGTTATTAAAATGAATAAAGAATAGAAATAAATTTATATATTGTTTTAGTATTATATAGAATAACATGAATATGTGCACAAAGGTAAAAAGGTGTTTATTTATATTTAACTTTATTAATACTATTATATTTTTTCCATTTCACACTTCTATTATATACATTTTTTATAAGTCCAAATTAGAATATAAACGAAATACAAAAAAGTAAAATAATATTAAAAAAAGTAAGGTTACGCCGTTTATAAAATAAAATTAGATTATAACAAATAACAAAAATTAGATTATATAAATAATAAAAATTAGATTATAAAAAATTCAAAAACAAAAAGAATTCAAAAACAAAAAGTATATAACGCAACATTCTCCCTCTTCTGATAATTTCATCGGAGAAGTCATAGAGAGTTTGTTGTCCAAGTGGTTTATCATTTTTGTAATCAAGTTGTATCACAAATCATCATAACGTTGGCTTGTCCCAATCGTTGGTTTGATCAATTCGATTTTGCACGTTGGTTTGTTTGATCACAAGCTTGATATCCATATCGTAAATTGTCTCCATTAATCATAGCTTGTTTGATAGTACTCAATTGTTATTATCATTTTTCCGAAATTGTTATTATCATAAATAAGTTGCGAATAAGAAATAATAGTTCATCATAAGAATAAATGAAGAATGATAAATCAATAAGATTGTTATATTTTTAGCGTTTTAATTTTTTGCGTTTTAATATAAGCGTTTTAATATTTAATTTAGTTTATGCAATTTAACATTTATTTTATATTTTAAGTTACATAGTCTTTTAAATAAGCAGGTTTTTTTTAAATTCGCACAGGTCTAGAGATAGGTGTTATATCGTTATTATCAGTAATTTTTATATTTTTGTCCATACTTCCCTCCTTAAAAGAATCCTTAGAGTCATAGTTAATAATTGTGTTAAAACAGTTTCTAATTCTTATTTGATCTAAATGTCTCCTCAAAATACCTTTCTCAGTCTTAATTTGGAACATCATATCACTTTCTTTATGTGTGATCATACCTTTACACCATTTATCATCACCTTGTATTTTATACCAAACAAAATCTCCTACATTAAAAGTTCTATTTCGTGGTAAAGTAACGTTTATTTTATTCTCCTTCTCCTCCATCGGTTTTAATAAGTCCCATTTAATTCTAATATCTCGATTAAACATTCTCTGTGATGGTGTAACTCCTGTAGTATCATTACGCGTATTTCTGTAATTAAGTAAAAATTTGCTAAGTGCGATATCTGGGTCTATTTTAATATTCCTTTTCATATGTGTTTTGAACGTTCTAACCATGCGTTCAACCTGGCCATTGGATTGCTGGTGATAAGCAGATGTAAGCACATGTTTAATACCAAAATTGTTGCAAAATTTTTCAAAATCGTTACTCGTAAAGTTAGTGCCGTTATCAGTAACTATAGTTTCAGGTATTCCGTATAGCGAAATAGTTTTAAAGATTTCTTTTAAAGTAACATCAGTCGTAATATTTTTAACAGGAATAATAATTGGAAATTTGCTGTAGGCATCGACTATTATCAACCAATTTTTTGTGAAAAACGGACCCGCATAATCTATATGTATCCTTTCAAACGGTTTGGTTGCCGAAACCCATGGTTTTTGTATCTTTATAGGATTATCATGATATATATTACAATCGTCACAACTTTTCACTTCCATAACGATATCATTATTTATACCAGGCCACCACATGTATTCTTTGGCTAAGGATTTGATTTTTCCTGCTCCCAAGTGACCTTCATGTAATGACTGTAGTATAGTTTTTCTCATAGAAGACGGAATTATGATTTTATTGCTTTTGTAAAGACAATCCTTAATTATACTTAATTCCAATTCAATGTTTTTATAAATATTATTCATTATAGGTCTGTTGTTATTAATATCATTTATGACTTGTTTTAATTCCGTATCTTTCAAAGTTTCATCACGAATTTGATCAAAGTTAATAGGTAAATCCTCATATTCATTTATTATGGTTACATCTTCAATAGTTTCATCACGACATTCTTGTGGTAATCTTGAAAGGCAATCAGGAACAACATTATATTTACCGGCTTTATACTTTATATTAAAATCATATCCTCCTAATGTAATATTCCACTTCTGGAGTCTTAACGACATGGTGCTATTATCCTTAAGACCCTTGGTGAAGATGTGAACTAGAGGCTTATGGTCAGTAATAATTGTAAATTTTGTGCCGATTAAATATTCCTGAAATCCCTTTATAGCGAACATTATAGCGAGAGCCTCACGCTCAATATTGGTATAGTTCATTTCAGACTTTAATAAAGTTCTCGACGCGAAAGCTATAGGTTTTTCTTTACCATCTTTTTCAATATGAAATAGTACAGCTCCTAAACCACATTTTGATGCGTCAGTGGCTATCCCTATAGGTAATTCAGGGTTAAAATATGTCAAAGCAGGTGGAAGACTAATTAACTTCTTTAGATCATTAAAACTTTTAGAGTGTTCTAGGTTCCAAGCCCATTTTTCTTTATTGACAATCTTATAAAGAGGATCGGCAATTTCCGCAAAATTGTTCAAAAATTTTCTATAGTAGCCAGCCATTCCCAGAAAT